TAAACATGATAAATATGAAAAAAAGAAATATGGAGGAGAAAGGGGAAATTGTGTTTTAAGGAACTCAACTGTGCAGTACACCTCTACCTCGATATAACACTACCCGATATAACACGAATTTGGATATAAACGCAGTAAAGCAGTGCTCCAGGGGGGCGGGGCTGCGCACTCCAGTGGATCAAAGCAAGTTCAATAGAACGCAGTAAGATTTTTTTGGCTCCCGAGGACAGCGTTACATCGAGGTAGAGGTGTACTTTTACTTTCTTGTTTAGCCCTGGTGGCTCTTTTTTTTGGTTCTCTTACTATGTTTTTTTAATCTGGGGTATACATTTAAGTTGAGCCTCTATTATGGTGTCTTTAAAAAGATTCCATGCAGTATTTTACTTTTGGTGCTGTACCTTTTAATTTCTGTTTAACTAACCTCCTCATTTTTGTGTAGTCCTCTTTTTTTAAATTAAATGCTACAGTGTTGGGCCGCTGTGGTGTTTTCCCCGCCACAGGGATGTTAATTTTAATTATATTATGGTCACTATTACCCAAGCGGTCCAGCTATATTCACCTCTTGGTCCAGATCCTGTGCTCCACTTAGGACTAAATCAAGAATTGCCTCTCCTCTTGGGGGTTCCAGGACTAATTGCTCCAAGAAGCAGTCATTTAAGGTGTCAAGAAATTTTCATCTCGGTATCCCATTCTGAGGTGATACATACCAGTCAACATGGAGCTAGCTGAAATCCCCCCACTATTATTGAGATTTTTTTTATTTTTACAACCTCTCTAATCTCCCTGAGCATTTCACAGTCACTATCACCATCCTGGTCAGGTGGTTAGTAATATATTCCTACTGCTATATTCTTATTATTCGAGCATGGAATTAGTATCCATAGAGATTCTATGGTACAGTTTGGTTCATTTAAGATTTTTGACTTAATTTGATTCTATGCTTTCTTTCACATATAGTGCCACTCCCCCACCAGCATGACCTGTTCTGTCTTTCCGATATATTTTATACCCCAGTATTACTGTGTCCCATTGATTATCCTCATTGCACCAAGTTTTTGTGATGCCTATTATATCAAGATCCTCATTTAATATGAGGCACTAGTTCACCCATCTTATTATTTAGACTTCTAGCATTAGTATATAAACACTTTAAAAACTTGTCACATTTTAGCTGTCTTCCATTAAAAGGTGTAATTGAATGAGACTTTTTTCATTTTACTGTTTCTCATCAGATCCTACCTATATTTTATCATCTTCCATACTCTCCTCCTCACTAGGACAGACGATCTCCATTAGTAGATCCTCCTCTAATGGATGTCTCTGTCCGAACCACGTGTTCCTCCGCACCTGGTGGCTTTCCCCCAGCCCAGTCCATGACTTTTACTAAAAATACCGGTCACTAAAACGTAGCCTTAAACATAACTAAGGAGAAGTTAATCACAAGCCACCACCTAAGACAAAAGGAGTCTTTTTCCTTGTTATCCTTTAATAATGTTAGATGGAATTCTCTGGGTGAGAGTGAATGGGTTGTAAAAGGAGGTGAAGAGCTTGTACGTTTCAGCAACTGTGGGGTTGGCAGAGTAAAGATGCGTTAAATAGGGCATACTGGGGCATTGATGAAAGAGTGCAGAGTGTTAAGGTTGCAGGGCATACACCAAGCAACCTTGACACTGTTATTGAAGTGTTTTGCCATTGAACGTACAAATAAAAGCAGAAAAGCATTTAAACATCCTTTAAGTGCTATATACATAAATATCAAATCTATGTGGAAGCGGGAGAGTAGTTTTCCCTTCCACTTTACTTGTTGCTACTTGACTTCTAGGTGTGTCAATTAATGTGGTCATCTCAGTGTTACCTACCTTCCTCCCTACCCCCTACGTCTTCCTTCAGTTTGCAAGGGAGAAGAGACTTTGAACATGGAATCTTAGCCAAACTCTTTCCAACACATTCATCACCAATAATAAAAAATTTAGAGTGGGAACTTTGTTGATTCATGAAGCATAACAGAATCCATCCCACTCTTTCCTAGCCTTAGTGGGTCTGCAGAGCTAACAACTGTAAAAAGTAAGAAGCAAAACCCTGAAGCAGCAGGCCTGACTCAATATGCAGGGCCTGTTTAGTTAGATGACATTTTTATTCTCATAGCTCAGAACCATATTTTAATCCCAGAATACAGTGCTGGTACTTGTTTCTTCATTTTTTTAAAGAACCTCCAAAACTGAGATTCTTATATTTCCTATACTTATAACTGCTACTCTCTCTAATCAGTAGAAACCTTAAATGTACCCACTGTACACATACATTCAGCCTTAATTCGCTATGCAGTTACCTGCTTAGTTTGTCACATCGAGGTCACGTAACTGCAAAGCTGACAATCACAGAGTATATGCAACTTTCTACTCAGCTTAATAGTGTCATGGACCATTGATTCAGACTGGTGCCTCTTGTTCCCATTATCCCACCAAACTGCCTGTTCAGATAAGTTGTACTGGCTGGCTTAGTACTGCTGGGTGTTCAAAAACCGCATGCTGGATCTGTGTACACTCATCTATTGTGCATAATTACAGGAAGTTGATATTTTGTTGTGACCACATACTTGAAGTACTTTGTCTAGCTGAATTCCCACTGTTCTTAGGTTTGCCTCTACTATTACCCCTCTTTCCAGCATCTTGAGTGACTTTCCCTGGTAAAGTGCTTTTCTTATCATTTACAAGCCACATGATCTCAAGCACTGAATCCTGAATACTTATGAATTAACTACTTGCAGCTCTGATGGACAAAGACAGGAGCACCTCATATAGTATCCTCGCAAATGGAAATGCAATTGTGTGCGATATGAAGACAGAAAAAAAATCACTCCATAAGAAAAAAGTAATGACAAACAACTATGCATCTAGCTAGATATAGGGAGCATCAAGGAGATGATGAAAGTAGGTATCATCTCATTTAGCATCCACATTATAAAACAGCCTTTAATTCAGATACTAAATCAAGCCTCCTGTTCTTTCTAGCACCTCAACCCCAAGAAAACCTCTTAAGATATGCAAGATTCCATTCTTACAGACCTTAAATATTGTGCATGCACACACTGCTGCACAATAGGAGACAGAACAGAGCAGGGGCCATGGGAAGAGTGGAGTAGAGCAGGGGTTCACACCTCTTCCATCACAAAACCTATGCAGGAAAACTGGAGATGAACCCATCTCCTCCTCCTTCCTAGCTCTGTTTCTGGAGCTGATGAGTCAATAGTTAACTTGTTCACCCCCCCCCCCCAAAAATCTGCCAATATTACTATTTAAACTGTTAAGTATCTAATCTTTGGCCCTGTTCACTGAATTTAATAGATAAATACAATGAACCATGATTCATTTCTACTTGATTTTTCTTTTTTTAAGTTAGGTGAACATCTATTCAGTTTATATTCTATAATTTATTAACCCCCTGGACTAACTGATCTTCTATTGATGAGCAAGTGTAACTCCAACAGAGTAAACAAAATTTTGAAGAGAATAATTCTTAGTTTGATGTTTTGGGGAGGAGGGAAGCAGCGGAGAGAAATCAGGGTTCTGATGGGAACTCAGGTTGCAACCTCAATTATGTAGTGGATACTGCGCATCTCCATAATACAAAATAGTATTAGAGAACAAATTGTCTGTTTTCTGTTTTGTTTCTAACCACTTTGTATAGGGACACTTATGGCATTTACAAGTTATTCTAACAGAGTTAAAGGCACAAAGATACTAACTTATGTGGGCATAAGATATTCATTAATAACATTACTAACCTGCCCTTCATTTCCCTAATGAATAATACATACAACTTGTTCATAGGAGATATGGCACAGAAGCAAGATCTAGAAACGCTCCTGAAACTGCAGTCGTAAGAGTTGACCCATGAATTTAAGAGCATAAATTAAATTTACTAATTTTATTTTTAAAAGCATATTAAAATTTAATGAATATATATGTATGTAGTCTCATTACTCTACTATACTTGTACAGTATGAATCTCTTCCCACTATAATAAGGTGGCAGAAATTTTAAACTATAGTAAAAGGTACAAAAGTTAGTGTTATTCCACGACCAAAAGTAAAAAAAATAATCTATTTTTATTTGAATTAAAGATGAAAACAAGTAAGAACCGTGAGAGAAAAATACCTTAGAAGAGTACTGCATCGGTTATTTATGTACTAACAAACAAAAAAACCCCAATCATCAGAAAACCAAGTAGTTCAAAAGAGTTAGGCTTCAAGAAGTCATTTGGAAGTACAAAGGTAATGTCAAAGAACTTTACCCATGGGTTTTTTTTCGG